ATCCATCCATCCATCCATCCATCCATCCATCCATCCATCCATCCATCCATCCATCCATCCATCCATCCATCCATCCATCCATCCGGGTCTTGGTGGGGCCAGTGCCTATCTTCGGCAGTCTATGGGCGAGTCACAGTTCTGTCGCGCGGTTACTAAGCACTTAAAATGTAATCCAACACATCATACAGTACAGTACATTTTCACTTATAGAGGCTGGAATCTGGCACGGGTCACAGATCAGATTGAGGAAAGTTTTAATGAATGTGTTACTATCAGGCTGTTGTTCTTACTAAAACATTTTTTGATGCGATACTTCAAAATGCATATTAGGAAAAGCTGATGGAATGGCACCTATAGATAAGAAGCTGGACTTTCACTTCAATGCAGGAAGACTATTGCATAGGAAGGCTATCACATCTCTTTCTTTAAAGAACTTAAATAGTTTTAATTTTGGCAGGATCACCTTACAGTTGGTGTATAGACTTATTGAAAGTCTTTCTTTCAACATAGTCTCCTGGTATGCAAATCTTTTAGTGAAGGAAGAGAACAAGTTGAATCGTGTATTAACATAGTGATACAGATATACAGGCACCCAGCTCATTCTTCAGCTGTTGCCATCTGGTAGGAGAATCCTACTAACAAAGACTAGCAGGTATAAAAACACATTTGTTTCCCTTGCTGTGACTTTTTCTGAATAATTCGATTAAATTCCCATTAATCCCAAAGGGACATTCAATAATACTAATCATTATAATTTTAATTAGGCACTCCTTATATCATCATTGTTCTCAATATATTTATTTTTACTTTGTCTTTTATGGAACTGTTTAAGTTTAGGTATTCTTTTAGATATACTTTCTGCCTTTTTATGTATGAACCACCGCCAGATGTCAAAACTTCCTCTCAGGAAAAGGGATGGACAACAAAGTTATCTTAATATTAAACTTACATATTGACCAAATTCAGGTTAAACCTCACTCGAGCCACTAAATGCAGTTTAAATTCATATTCATTGTTCAAAGAGACAAACTTTGGCCGTTTCTCTATATGTGTACTTGTGCGTTCTCATGTGCTTGTGAAACGTCCTCAGCCTCAGCCCTAGTACTGTTTCGATTCACAAGAGCAGCAGACAGAGAACGGACAAAGTCCCTGGATGCATCCCAGCATGCATCAGAGCAGACTTGTCCGTTCTTGAGATTGACAGCTGTCCCAGCATGCACTGCGGCAGCAGTGGCTTTCAATGGAGCGCTCACAGAGCTCAGAGTATTAAGTTAAAAGTTTTCTTTTCTGTTGCCGTTGTTTTATAAAAGTACATTTTAAGATAATTTAAGGCAAGAACATTATAGGTTTAAGCTTCACTATGTGGCCCATTTACTGATTCAATGTGTCATTTAAAAAAAGTTCAGATGTTGAAAGGACCGCGGCAACCAGCGGACCTCCAAGGCTAACCACAGCCAGGGCTAACGTTTGCAGCAGCCTCTCTCTGCATAGCCATGTGTGAAGGGCCGCTGGCTATGATGGCAAAAAATTTTTTTTATTTGGAAAAATATTAATTTGAATTTTGTTTTTCTGACTGTGTTAAAGCTACAGTGTGTAATAATTA